GAAGGATTATGAGTATTGGAATATCCAAATGAAGACAATCTTTGGTTTTCAAGACTGCTTGGAGGTTGTGCAATCTGGAGTACCAGAAATCAATGCAAACTCAAGTGAGGCTCAAAGAGTTGAGCATAAAGAAACCAAGAAGAAGGATTGCAAAGCCATATTCCTACTTCATCAATGTGTGGACAGACCAAACTTTGAAAAAATCAGTGCTGCATCATCTTCCAAAGAGGCTTGGGATACACTTGAGAAGTGTTATGCTGGTGGAATGAAAGTGAAGAAGGTTAGACTACAAATGATGAGGAGGCAATATGAGTTACTCCAAATGGAAGATCAAGAAACCATAGCTGAATACTTCAATAGGATTCGTAGTTTAACCAATCTTATGAAGGGCTATGGGGATAAGATGGATGAGCAAGGGATAGTAGACAAAGTGTTGAGAACATTAGCCACAAGATTTGACAATGTGGTTATTGCCATAGAAGAAGCAAAGGATTTAGACAAACTCAAACTAGATGAGTTGCAAGGTTCATTAGAAGCACATGAGCAAATGTTTGTTGAAAGATTGGTTGATAGACACTCTCAACATGCTCTCAGTGCTCAATTCAAGAAGAGAATCCTTGGTCACCTTGACAAGCTGAAGAAAGATGACAATAAGTGTGATAGTGAACCTCCTGCAAGAAGAAACAGTGGAAGCACAAGTACTGCAGCTGCTACAAAGAATAATGGTGGTTATGCAAACAAAAACTTTATTAGAAAGAAGAAGAAGGATAAGAGTAATATCCAGTGCTACTGTTGCAAGGAGTGGGATCATTTTGCTTCTGAATGCAAGATGAAAAAGATAGGCACAGTTGCAGAAGCAAGATTGGCAAAAGAAGAGAACTCAGATGAAGAAGTTCTGTTAATGGCTGATGCAGAAGTTTCTGGAGCTTGCAGCAGTGTCTCAGATGGAGCACTAATGGTCACAACCAAGGAGAATAACCCACTCTCTGAAAACTGGTATCTAGACACAGGCTGCTCAAATCATATGACTGGGCATAAAGAGTGGTTCATTAGCCTAGATGAATCAGCAAAAACAAAAGTAAAATTTGTTGATGAAAGCTATGTAATGGCAGAAGGAATTGGAAAGATTCAGATCAAGAAGAAGAATGGCTTGGCTTCATATATTACCAATGTCTTATATGTACCTAAGATGAAGAATAATCTCATTAGTCTTGGTCAATTGCTTGAGAAAGGCTATAAAATGAGGTTGGAAGATAGGATGATTAAGATCTTCAACAATGATGAGGTGCTAATTTTAAAGGCTCCACTCTCCCAAAACAGGACCTTTAAAATCAGTATCAATGTAGGAGAGCATGAGTGCTTGAAATCCACACATGATGAAGTTTGGATTTGGCATCAAAGACTTGGTCACCTAAACTTCAGAAGCATGATACTACTAAGTCAAAAACAGATGGTTTCTAGGCTACCAATCTTGCAGATTCCAAGTGAGTTATGTGAAGAGTGCATTACAAGCAAACAAGCTAGGAATTCATTCAAAGATCAGATGAATACCAAGACAAACAATCCTCTGGAGATTGTTTATAGTGATGTGTGTGGGCCACTTGAGGTGCAATCCATTGGAGGCAACTATTACTTTGTGACTTTCAAAGATGAGCACACTAGGAAGCTATGGGTGTATCTGTTGAGGCAGAAAAGTGAAGTCTACAACAGATTCAGAAGTTTCAAGGCACTTGTGGAGAAGCAAAGTGGTTTCAAGCTGAAATTATTAAGAAGTGATGGTGGTGGTGAGTACAATTCTCTTGAATTTCAGAAGCATTGTGAGGCAGAAGGCATAACTCATGAGGTTGTTGCTCCATACACACCACAACACAATGGAACAGCTGAAAGAGTGAACAGATCTCTACTGAACATGGCTAGGAGTATGTTGAAAACAAAACTACTTCCCAAAAGGTTTTGGGGTGAAGCTATTGCAACAGCTGCTTATGTGATCAATAGGTGTCCCACAAGAAAGTTGAGTGGAATAACACCAGAAGAGGCCTGGACTGGGATTAAGCCAAGTGTGAAACACTTGAAAGTGTTTGGCTCAGTCTGCTACAGACATGTACCAGATGCCAAGAGGAGAAAACTTGATGACAAGGGTGAGAAATTGATATTTCTTGGGTATCACTCAACTGGAGCATATAAAGCCTACAATCCTGTGACAAATTCACTCATTTATAGCAGAGATCTCAAGATAGATGAGACTAAAGCATGGGAATGGGAGAAAAGCAGTGAAACCACAATGAATCAGGGTCAGATTGACTTAACCTGCACACCTGAATTGTCTAGCACCTTACCTAGCATCTCTGAAAATTTTGAAGAGCCTGGAGCTCAATCAACAGAAATTGAAACTCAAGCAGTGAATGGAGTTGTTGATAGACCTCAGAGGCAGAGACAAAGCTCAAGCAGATTAAGAGACTTTGAAATCTTTGCTGATTCTGAAATCACTTCAGAAGGGGATTTTGTGCATATGGCTTTGTTGGCAGAGATGGAACCAGTGTCATTTGATGAAGCAATCAGGGAATCTTGTTGGGTTGATACTATGAAGGAAGAACTGAACTCCATAGAGAAGAACAATACCTGGGAACTCATCACACTACCTAAAGGCAAGAAGGCTATAGCAGTGAAATGGGTCTACAAGTTGAAGTTGCAGCCTGATGGAACCATAGCTAAGCATAAAGCTAGGCTGGTAGCAAAGGGTTTCCTACAAAGACCAGAAGTTGATTATGATGAGGTCTTTGCACCTGTAGCAAGGATGGAGACAGTTAGACTTGTTATAGCTATGGCAAGCTCTAAGGATTGGTGCATATGGCAAATGGATGTTAAGTCAGCCTTCTTGAATGGTCCTCTAGACAAGGAAGTTTATGTGACTCAACCTCTTGGCTTTGAGGTTTCAGGCCAAGAACAGAAGGTCTACAAGCTTCACAAAGCACTCTATGGACTCAAACAAGCCCCTAGAGCCTGGAACAAAAGAATAGATGGTTTTCTTGTGAAGCAGGGAATGACAAGGTGCACAAATGAACATGGCATCTACATAAAAAGCACACCAGAGGCAGCATCTGTGGTTATCTGTTTATATGTTGATGCCTTACTCATAACAGGCTGCAAAGAAGAAGAGATTCAATGCTTAAAGGATGGCCTCAAACTTGAATTCGAGATGTCAGATTTGGGTGCACTTTCATACTTCCTAGGGATTGAATTTCTAAGGACAAGTAGTGGCATACTTATGCATCAAAGAAAGTATACATCAGATGTTTTGAAGAGGTTTAATATGTTGGATTGCAATTCAGCTTTCACACCTGTTGAGACAGGAAATGGATTGTGCAAAGGGAAACCAAGTGAGGAGGCAGTGAATCCAACACTCTATAGACAGATTATTGGCTCTTTAAGGTACATATGTAACTCTAGGCCTGACATTAGCTATGGAGTTGGCTTAGTAAGTAGATACATGGAAGATCCAAAACACTCTCATATGCTTGCAGCCAAGAGAGTGTTGAGGTACCTGAAAGGAACTATGGAGTATGGTGTTCTATTTCCAGCTAAAAACCAGTCACAAACAGTGAGTATGATTGGTTACACAGATGCTGATTGGAGTGGTGATAAAGATGATAGAAAAAGCACTACGGGCTACGTCTTCAAACTGAATCAAGCACCCATAAGCTGGAACTCAAAGAAGCAAAAATCAGTTGCACTTTCCTCATGTGAAGCAGAATACATAGCTGCTTGTGAAGGTGGGTGTCAAGCTCTATGGTTACACTCTTTGCTTGCTGAAATTGGCTTGTATCAAGAAGAGTTTATGCTGCTCTTAGTAGACAACAAATCAGCTATCAACTTGGCAAGAAATCCTATAGCACATGGAAGAAGCAAACACATAGAAACCAAGTATCACTACTTAAGAGATCAAGTGGAGAAGGGGAGGTTGAAGTTGGAGTTTTGTAAAAGAGAAAATCAGCTTGCTGATATATTCACAAAAGCATTGAAAAGGAAGTCATTTGAGGCTCAAAGAAGCAAATTGGGTATGGTTAATCAAGCTAGTATGGATTAAGGAGGTGTGTTAGATAAATTGTAATCCATTTAGCTTGATGTATTGGGCTCTTATGAGTTTTCCATGTACACTTAGTTAGTGTACTTAGAATGTATTTTGGTTGTATTAGAACTAAAAGGCTATAAATAGAAAGTTTCAAGTTAGATGTTAGTTAGTTAAAAACTAACACTTTCCATAAAAACTATCTCTCCACGTTTTTCTTTTTCTTCTCTGTTATTACTCTCATTCTCTCTCTGCAACATCTTTTCTTTTCTTTCTTCATTCATTCACGTTCTGCAACAAGCAAGGGGAGCTTACTTTTGCTTCAAATCCAACAGTTACAATGCATGCTTAACTTGGTTTCTATCTGGTTATTATGGTTATTTAAGTAGTATTTGTCATGATTTCTATACATAGTTAACATTCATTGTAACATGTACTAACTTGTCAAATAGAAACTTTCTCTGTTTCCTTTATCTCTTATATCTAACAAATAATAATTCAGTTCCTATAATTCAGTATTTTAGCAGCTAGTACCAACAAAGCAATTTATTTTTTCAAGCATTTTACATGCACTATAGGTAATCACAGTCACAAGAGGCCAATTATATATGTATTTTTGGAGTTTCCACTATAGGTAATCACAGCTACAAACAACACTAAACAGATGACTTTTCTATTTTATATCAAATAGTTTAAGTTAATTAGTTAGATTTATCTATGAGTTCTTTTCTTCGACATTCTCTTTCTCTCATTCTTCACTTTTTTTAAGCTTTTCATTTCTCATTCATCATCAAGAAGGTCATTCTTTCATGGCTCATACCAAAATTAACATGGTATCAGAGCAATAATTATACATATCATGGCTTCCGCTTATGCTTCTTCCATCCCAAGATTCAACAAAGAATCATCACCAATGTATGTTGTTCTTGCAGCTGATTTAGTTGGTTTTCACACCTATGATAATCCCTTTTGTTCAGCAGCAAGATGAGAGTTTTAGGAGCACTCCTTGATATGTTAGGTTTGGTAAATTTCAACTGTTCTTCTTCTTATCTTAAAGGTTCCTTGCCATTTGCCTTCTTCTTAGGTTAAAGCTGCACAAGAATCACTTGAGGAGTTTTGCAGTATAGGGAGGGGTAAATTCAAGAAGAGCAAGAACAATTAACCAAACTCAAACCCACAATAGCTACCTCATATTGTCTTGCTGAGTTTACCCTTCTTTGACTATTTTTATTCTTGATGTTCATTTTCTTGTGCCACTGCTTCTTGGAACATTTTCCTCATTATTCGGACAAATTTAAATAGCTCCTTGTCTTGTTTAATTCATCGTCCAATTTGTTGGTGCCTTTGAGAGATGCTTCACATTTTAATTACATCATCCAGCCACAATGTTATGAGCATAGGGATCAAGGCTCACTATTAGAGCTAGTACAGATTAATTTTATGTTCTCCGAGTTATAAAATATGCTAGCAAATCTCTGAAATTGAAAGTACTATCACTTTCATTTCATTCATACTCTACTTCTTACCCCTTTCACATACACAACATCATTATAGTGTGTACTTTTTCTTCATTGAAGCAATATATTAAGATTAAGATTAAAATCCATTTTTTTCTCTTTCATCCATTATGGTTGATTATGGTTAAGTTTGGGATGAAGTTGTTTCTCCCTATTGTGGTTAAGTGTCAGTACTGCTTCACATTTAAACTTTAAGACTGAAAAATAAAGATTCGCTCACCAGCAAGATGAGGTTCTAGAGTATAATAATCATGAGTCAATGGAATCATTTCAAGCTTGGCATGTTAAAATAAATGTGTTTTCTGTTTTATTAGTTTAGGTCAATTAGTAGGTTTATCTTTCACTATATAAACTCTTCTTTTCTCTCCCTTTCCTAATTCATATAAGAAATAATGAGAAAATGTGAAATTTTCTTTCTCTCATTCTTTACTTTCTTTAAGCTTTTCCATTTCGATCATTCTTTCATCTCATACCAAAATTAACGGTTTATGAGCAGCAAACAAAAACATTTGTGTGTAAAAGATTATCCCTTATCTTGTTCGTTTCTTCTCTCACTCCTTTTGTCTCCTTATAATAAGGTCCTGATATATTACACAAGTGTCTTTCTCCCTCATAACTTGTGCACTGCATGTTTATAATATATCATGCATTCTTTCAAACATCGTTTAACTTAACTCGTCACCATTATGTGAGTAATTAATTACAAAACAATGATCATAAAGATTAGTAGTTCAACCCCCCTATTATTTAGAATAATTTGCACCTCACCTAAAATGTCTTCACACAAAACGGATGAGATGACTAGGTTATTAAGTCTTAACTCATTCTCTTGGTAATCACATATTTTATAATTGCTATTATTATATAACTACAAGTATATATAAGTTATCAAAATTGAATTGAAAGGGACACCACAACATGGAGAGAGTGAACAATATTTTCAATTTAACAACAGTAATTGCTTTCACATTCCTGGCTCTGGTGCCAAAGATGGAGAGCCAGAATATGAATTCCTCAGCTGTTGCACCAGTAACCCAACGTCCACTTTGTGCATCCCAGTTTACACTAGCAAACTATGCATGTGTAAAGTTGCCATTCTCACCGGGCTCACCATCTGAACCTCCACCTGATTCTCCACCTGACTCTCCACCCTCTCATGATGACGATGATGGTGATGACGATGATGGTGGTGATGACGATGATCACCACCACCATCATGATAATAGACACAGGCACGAGCATAGGCACAGACACAGACACAGACATAGGAACCGCAAGGGACCTGAGGAGAAAGAATGTTGCAGGTGGGCTAAGGAAGTGGACAGTCAATGTGTGTGTGAACTTCTGGTTAGGTTGCCACCTTTCCTTATGAGACCTGTGCATCAGTACTCACTTGACATTGGAGATGATTGTCATGTCACTTACTCATGTGGTGGACCAATATGATTCTCAAACTTGCACGTTTCTCTTTGCTTTTAAGGGTTAATAACATATCATTCATATTAACTTACTTCATACTTGGTATGAAAAGAATAAGCATGTCTCAGGAAAAAATCAGATGAATAAGGAGTACTGCTACCTCAGTTTTTCCCCTGTGTACTTTTTCATATATATTCACCAATGGAATAACAACAAAATTCCTTTCAGTTGCATAGACAGAATAATGTCATAGTTGTTTATTATAAATTATACTCATTCACAAAACAACATTCCCCTATTGCACTAGGGATACATAACAATATGAACTCTTGTCACACATAACAATCAAAAAATTAATATTTTGTTTACACAAATTAATTTTAATAAATCAAGGTTAAATTTAATCTGTGCAACTAGTTAGGGTACCATTTAATAATGGGCGAATGAGGTGTTAATATCTTCTCCGATCCGTAATCGACTCCCGAACTCATAACTCTCATTAAAAGACCAATCTTATCCGATTTGGGCTCAATTTGAGTTTTTCACGTTTTAACCGCAAAAGACGTGGTGGCGACTCCTCAAGAGGTCGCTGGCCGAAAAGCTGGGCGCGAGAACATACATCCATCTTAATTATCAAAATAGTGAATCCATTGATAGATTTTTCTCCAAGAAAATAGAATCTATAGTTTGGGAAGTGACATGACCAAAATTGTTTGAAAACCATGATCCCATTTGTTTGAAATGATAGTCAAATATTGTCATTTTTGTCTCATTATATGTTCTTAGAAGTTATCAAAATACTGAATAACATAACAAAAACCAAATTAATGTCTGAAAAAAACATGAATCAAACAAGTGCATTCCCCCCAAGCATTTGCATAGCTTCACCCAAGTCTTCAACCAGAGTTATAGGCATAAGGTAAAGACCCTTACTCTCCAGAAGCTGAGTTGCTGCTGCTGGATTTTCCTCAAGTAGTTTTCCCATCATCTCCTCAAGGGGTTCATTCAGCATCTGTTTCTCTATATAATGTCCATAGCCCTCAAAATCAAAATAAACGGAATGTTCTCCAATCAGTTATTTGATTATATTTCCCAGGTGTATAATTTTGAGCAAACACCCTTCTCCTAAAATTAAAGACATATATTTACCTCGTGAAATATTAATGGTATAGAAGTTGGTTCAGTTTGCAATCTACTTCCACTTATTTCCTGCATGGAACAACTTTCATAGCTCACTGTCTGACTTAAGTTAGTTTCAATAACAAAAAATGGTTGTACGCATTAGACATAGTCAATGATGACAATATTAATAGTTAAGAGGTACCTTTATTTGAAACTGCATATTATTCACAATTGATGAGAAGTTAATAGTTAAGAGGTACCTTTATTTGAAGCTGCAAATATTTGACATAGTCAATGATGTCGTCCAGCACATAAGCTTGACCACGCTGCAAAAGGAACTGCCTAAGTAATATTCAGAAATCACAAGTGTACCAGAAGTAAGATTTTGACAGGTATGTTTTGGTTTCATTTACGCAAGATTTTATTCTTTCCTATATGAACTGTTCATTCTTAGATGTATTCCTAAAGCAGAATCTACCAATGAAGACAACATAGAAACTTTATTTTTTTTTTCACTATCTCCTTAGCAGTGAGTTACCTGATTCCAATTGATTATATATTCCTAGCCTAATTAAAACATTCCAAGGGAACATATGTTACATCATAATGACACTGTTGTTTGGGCATACTGAAAAACTAAGTTAAAGAGAAGTTTTGTTTACCATTTCTGGTTATAATGTTTGTAATTAGTTAAGGCATCGCATTGATTATTGAACTAAATATCCATCTTATCATAGCATTAGTAGTTCTTAAACAAACAAGAGATTACCTCAGCTGGAATTGGAAGCAATTCGTGTAAGGCTTTGAGATTATCAGCAATACGTTGTCTGCGTAGCTATAAAGTAGAATACATGGTTAAGGAAGCTAAATGCTGTTACAATAACAAAGATGTATCTGAATTTTGAATTGAGCATGTGACAATGATTTTTGTATATGAGAGAAGAAAACCAACAGCATGAAGTTTTACTTACACGGTCAACGGCATAAGTTTTCTGTTTTTTGGGAAGTAAAGCAGGTGCAACAACCGTTACCCTTGGATCAAGCTGTGAAACATTATGCTTATCTCCAACTGGTTCTGGTGTCCATGAGGCATGACTCTGATGACAAATTAAATCAGAAATATTAATTGCAAATTTCAGAATGATGAAGAATCTTAAAACATTTCAACCAGATATAGATAAGCTGGTGGTAAAGCATTAACTAACATCAGCATAGAAAAGATGATGATGTTTAGTACTTCCATATTGAATTGCTTCCTGGTGTGCCTCTTTGCCTTCATCAGGCCTCCAAAACCCCACCTGCTGAAAACACACATTAGATCCTTCAATTTAAGGAATAGGATATATTCCTTAAAAATTTGGGTCATGCTAACCAGTAAAGGCACTGGTTAAGGAATAGGATATATTCCTTCAGCAACCAAAAGAACATTTCTTATTTGAAAGCCAAGTGCATCACTTATCCATGACTTAAAAACAGCATTTCCTCATGAAAACTTGCATTTTTTTTAATTCCTTAACCAGTGCCTAAAGTTAGCATTTACCTAATAATTTTCACCATATTTAGTTAGTTATTTTCCTGTTGAAAAGGTTTTACCTTGCTACTGTCTACTTCAGTAGAAGAATAATCGGGTGTTTTTGAGGCACAGGCTTTTCCAATGTTGTTATAAAAGTCAGTTGCATTGACCTCATTAACATTGTTTATGGTACTAAGTGATGGATAATAATAATTGCACCCAGTGATGCTTTCACTAGTAGCCTTTGGAAAATAAGTTGAGGAGGAAGATTCAGCTAGATATTCAACAGAGTTAGGGATGCAAGTCCATGGGCTACAACTCATTTCAGAATGTATGTTTGGTCCATCAACCTCATTTACAGAGGACCCTGTAAATGTCATTTTCTTCATTACAGAGTTATCTTGCCTAATCTCTCCTTCCATTAACACCCTACCTGAAAAGTATTAACCTTAAATATCACAAACTTTGAAGACTATCGTGTTGCCTAAAGGAATTATACTGAAAATTATAATCATTCATTTAAAATTCTTCTCAATTTTGAAAAAACTGCAAAAAAGTAGAAACAGAAAAGAAAGGAAGGTGCTGAGAAAGTAGAAAGACACTTTTGATTGTAGAACACTTTGGCAACCAAAGGTCTCATTTTTAACATCTTAGAAGCTAAAAAAAAGTAAAACACTCTGACGATTTTATTCATAATAAATAAATAAACAAAAT